TGATTCTATGATTCCATGATTCTATGACTCTACCACAGAAGTCCAAAAGAGCAGAGAAGCTGAAAAAAGAAGAAAGAAAAAAGTCAGATGGCATTCATCCATCTAAACTTTTTTATAATCCACATACTCTGATACTCTGAGTGAGTGTTGATATATATCTGAATGGATACAGTTAGAGAAAACCTTTCAGTAGCTGGCAGATATGATACAACAATCAGTAAAAAACCCCTACCCTTGCAAAGAACTTTATTTCTGGATATCACATAGAGCATTCATCTGCTGTGTTTTCTAAAACTGAAACCTTGTGTTCATCTTTGCTACACATTGTATGACCTTGTTTGATATCATCTGGCATGTTGAGATGATGAACATTGTATTTCTGATGAACTTCAGCATCTAATTTTTACATGGACATAGTAAAAAGCACTGTGAGAAATGGAAGTATAATTTTTCTATTAGGTTTTAGGAAAGCACCATGTTTCTTTAAAAATGCCACTTCTCAAATAGGGGTGATGAACAGTAGTAAATTAGTATGAAACAAAGTAAGATTTCTGGAATGAGGTAGAAATGTGTTATGTAGAGGGAAGACATTATGCACTGAGGGATTGAAGGCATTTTTTCCTTTCACGGTGGGTTATTTCTTGCCATTTGTAGGCTGCAATTGTTTTTCAAAAAAGCAATATGGAAATGAATAGCTGCATTCTGCTATAAAGTACCTCTGAGCAAAGATTATTAAAAATGACAGGCAGATTTCTGTGTATTTGATAATGTCAAGAGCGGAAGTAGTGCCGCATATTGGTGTTATGAGATATCAGAATAATTCTCTTTTCTGCAAAATCTGTAATGCCTAATAGAAGAATGTCATTTTGGGCTTTCTTGCAAGCGTAATTACATTGTGACTCAATAAAGCACCTTAAACTTGCTTGACTTTAAGACCGTCTTTCAATCCACCGTTATTCAAGACAGCAGTAGTAAAGATGTGCATTTAAGTTTTTGCTTAAATGCTTTGCTGAATTCAGGCTTCAGAAATTAACCGTTCTCCGTCAAATAGTGTTCACTGCATCACACTTGTAATAGTATACTGAGGTTGTTGCCTTTTCTGTTGCAAAGGCTTAAACATGTGATTTCCTCAAATATGGCATGTCATTCTTTGGTGTTGCACAACTCAGCTGACTGAGCTTGACAGTAATGGTGGCATGTTTGGAAAAGGGAGAATCAAACCAGAAGAGAAGGTAACTCCAGGAGTGGGTTTGAGGTAGTGCTTTCTACTCCACCGTGTCCTCCTCCTGTCCTAGTCATATGCCCTCAGCAATGGGACTTTATTGTTTGCTAACTCAATTTTTCTCTCTTTGGAATCATTAGTGACTGGCATCTAGAGTTGACATGACATACCCAAGTCATCTGCTGGGGCTGGCTGTGAAATTGGGCTGTGAAATGCCACTCTGAATCTTTCTTGTGCACATCTTGGCCATTGACACAGGACCCCATTTGTATAGATATCTTCTTGCCAGGCTTCCCAGATTCCTTTCTTCTCCATTTCATTTCTTCTTTGGGACTGACGCCGCTCTCTACTCACAGCACGTGTGAGCTGAGACAATCTTACAGGAGATCCACATGATTCTTTGGATAGTGCCTTCAAGGTTTACTGGCAGGCTGAAGCTGCATTTGAAAATTAGTTTGGATTAGTATAGGATATAGAGTTGAAATGCACTGGCTGTTTTTAAATAACTCCATGTTTGGACATTATCTGTATGACTGATTTTGTAAATTAATGCATACTGAGTGGCTGTATGAGCTGTATGGGTAAATTCAATAAATAACTCTGTACATGTATGTGCGTGAGAGTGTGTGCATAAATAGGAATTTTCAGTTTACACCAACGTATTTGCAGTAATTTGTAACCATACATAAAATTCTTTGACGTTATCCTTGAATTATGAGTAGCATTTACAGGAGTATATGTATTTATTTTTGATTACCTTTGGTTTTTTTCAGCTCTTCTTTATGCAACTATTTTTGGAAATGTCACCACCATTTTCCAGCAAATGTATGCCAACACCAACCGATACCATGAGATGCTGAACAATGTGAGGGATTTCCTAAAATTATATCAAGTCCCAAAAGGCCTTAGTGAAAGAGTCATGGATTATATTGTCTCAACCTGGTCCATGTCTAAAGGAATTGACACAGAGAAGGTATGAATACATGAGGTAACAATTCAGATAGCAAGAGTTTGTGTCCATTGTGTGCTTTCTTAGAAACAGGACTGTATAACAGCATGTAACTTACTAACAAATTCTTAACTGCATGCTACTCCATTATTATGTTTGTGTTTGGATCAAAACCTGGATGATTTAAAAAAGAACTGTTTTGCTGCTTTGGAAATATGCCTTTATTTTTCATTACAGTAAATATTTTATGCTTTCCAGTCTTACTTTGCCTAAATACTAAATAATTTTAATGTACTTAACTATTGAAATCAATGGGAAATTGGTCTTCAAATTAGTCCAAGAACATAATTTGGTGTCTAACCTACATCAGTATTATTCTGAAAAGTATTGGCATCTATGAGTTGCAGTTAAATGAGTTTGATTGGCTTGGACCTTTTGCTGGTGCCCAGGACATCGACATATCCATCAGCATAATTAGTACAGGATTTAATGGCAGTAGAGATTGATCTCCTTGAGCTAAAATCTCTTGGCTAGACCTTAAGGCCTTGGTAGGGAGGTACAGAAAATGTGACACTGCTGGCAGCCATTCAGGGTAGAAGTCCTACAGGACTTTTGCCCTCAGAAAGGACTGGTCGTTTAGGTTTCTTCAAAAGCTGATTAAAGAAGATCATCTTCAGAGCGTGATGCATCGTGTGGCAGGACAGACCAAGTGATTTGTCCTCGGAGCTTCTCTTTCTCCATGATATGTGCAGTGAGTCTGTCTAGCCTTGGATATTTTAGAGAGCTGAAGTCAGATAGGAGGGTTTCTACCTGCAATACCTTGAAGCAATACCTTGAATGCAGGCAAGATATAACAGTTTTAGGTCTAGATTTTTGGTCAGTGGAGATTGATGATGCTCCTGTGGCTTCTGTGGACCTGGTGCACATTAGCTGAAATTAGGCATTCAAGCTCCAGTTTCCATGAAGATTTCCCTCCTAAGAACTTAAAGGGCGAGTGTCCGAGGGAGGGTAACGAAGCGTTATGGCAGATTAATATCTTAAAATGTCTTAGTCCTTGCAGAGTGTGCAGTTCTTGCTTCAGTTGAATCTACTGCGTAACATGGAATGATGATGCAGCTTGTTCAGATATGCCAAGATGAAGTCACTACATTGAAAAATTTAGCCTTACATCATGCTGATGCAACAGCAGTTATCTTATTAATCATCTGCTGTGAAATTCGGTTTACCATCATGAATGCAACTATTTTAAGTTACAAGGATTTTGATTTCTTTGATTCTTGTGCTTCAGTATGCCACATTCTTTAATATGTTAACTTCTTATACACTAATACCCTAACTTCCCCATGCTGATTCATAGTGTTAAAAGTGAACTTTTATATTGTAAACTACTGTAAATGCATTCATTCCTATTGTGTAAATTCAAACCATATGAAAATTCAACTTTCGTTTGCATTTATCTCCTTGTAGTTAAGCCAGAATCCTGTATTATTCCACTACAGTTTCATTAGATTTTAATGATGCTTTGCAGTTAATTAGGAGAACCTATGCTTTAATTACTGAAATTTCCTTCCATAGTTTCCGCATGTCCGGTTTTATAGATAATAAAAATGCAGTTAGAGCCGTAATCTTTGACTCATGGTAAGCAGTGTTCTCTGGTCTGTAAGACAGTAGTGGCTGCTTAGCTAGATAATTAATATGGCTGTAAAATCTGTGACTTAGGTGTTTAACAATTTTCCCTTGGTAAAGACTTGCCTAAACTTAGGCCTGGATCCAAAACCTATTTAAACACTGGAAGGATTTCAGGAACCTCTGCATCTGGACATCAGTAGTTGCGTCTAATCGAACTTCCCAGAAAAGCCCATGTTACAGAAGAACAGAGACAAGATAAAAGTAAGAATTTGAGCACCGGTTTGAATATTTTGGTGTTTTGTATCCCTTACAGCCTGCAAGTCTGCAAAAGCAACAGCACCAGCAGCCTGTAGTGCCCTCCCTGAGCATCCCTGGGTCTGTACAAGTGTAAGGATCAGGCAGTTTGCTTTCAGCTGCAGGACCTTAGCCAAAGTCAGAGTTTGTTTTAGCAAAAGGGTGGAAAGCTGTGTCGTAGCCAGGCAGCCAACCTACCTTTATCTCCATTCAGGAAGGTGTTATGATGTGCTTCACCAAAACAAATGAGAAAATGTTGTAAATCCCAGCTGAAAAATGATAGAAACAGTGGTACAGTCCCAGAGACTAGTCATGTAGGGTGGATTATTTCTCTTGCATTAGTTCCTTCATTACACCTTCAAGCCCTGTTGTAAGACCCTCTGCATTTAAATTGGTTCCATCTGTACTAAACCTAGAGCAGCCAGTGCATGGGAGCGCACTGTAAGGAACTCCAAGGTACACAGAGTCAAGTCAGATTTATTACCGTAGATGCAGTGGGGCTAATGGGACTACATTGCACCTGCAGCTGAGTGGCTAAACCCAGATAGTGCTCCAGCTTAGGTTGGAATAGGGGATTACTGCCCCAGGTCTTGAGTTGCTTTTCTGCACTGCTTTGTCTGACAGCCTGGACGTGACCTTAGGGGTTTCTTCCAGTCTAGTTTTCAAAGCTCCAATAATGAGATTCTGACCAGTCTGTTGTCTGGGTATCTTTGCATCACATGATTTCCCATTCTCCTTAATTTTAACGAACTTTTCAATAAGCTTCTTATTATCTTGCAAAACACGTGTGCTTATGACACATGATAATTAGTGAGGAATTTCTCAACTTTTTAGTTTCCATCAGACAACTCAGACAGTTTCCATCATCCAAGGATGTTTTTCAACCTAACATACAGTATTACATCCCAAACTGTTCCAAATGTATCTGCATTGTCACACTGGAATGTGTTTTGCAACATCATTTGCCACAAATTTATAATACATTTCATTCAGTCACTCAGCATGTTGAAATGGCTTTGTTTTGAAATCCAAATTCGAAGAACAAGAAGGTTAATATACTAACAAAGAATTAAATTTCTTATATGAGTGTTACAGTAGGTTCCTATGCTGATGAACAATCCTAGCAATTTGATGGAGTAAAAATAAACACATGTGCTTGTGTTTCTTTGATAACTAATGATTTTAAATTAATATGCTTGAAATTAAAATATAAGTTAATAACTTGATTGGACTTACTATGACTTAACGTGTAGATTTGTCGCATCAGATCTCAAATATCTATCTAGAATGACACATTCAATGTGTAGTCCCAAAGAAGAACTTGGCTAAAACTGGTAAGGATGAATCCTTAGATGGGAACTGAAGACAAAGTGGAAGTTAGCATGGAGGAAGTTAAAGGAAGATCTGGTCCTTGCTGCTTGTGAGAGCAAGCTGTCCCAAACAGAACTTTGTCTTAAAGTCCCAGTCTGTTGTCCTTGTATGTGGAAGAGGACTTGTTCTCCCTCACTGAAGTGATGGTGCCTTAAGCACACAATTTTGGCTTCCCTGTTCATCTTGGGAATAGCTCGTCTTCAAACTACAGTACTTCAGCCTGTCTCTAAGTGTTCGCAAATAAGGAATTAACAATGACACTAAAAGCATTAGCATATTTATTATTATTACTTAAGGGGAAGCAAGTGGCCTCTGATCCATAATCTTAAATCACTTAAACATGAGAGCCCTCCTCTGACAGCTGGGATGATATATGTAATACATGCACATGGACTCTTATCTCCTAGTGTAACAGTGGCTCAAACAAGATGGAATATTTTTTTATGATTAATGCTACAGGTTTTGAGGTTATTCATCTAATAATCAGCAGAGCTAAAAACATGACAAAACTGAAAAACCTTTATGTACTAAACTGTATCTCTCATCCAGCACAACCTGTGTTTTTTGAGAGGTAAAAAAGAGGCAGTGCGTTCTCTATATATGACCATTTTTAAGCAGCTGAAAAAAATCTTTACAGTAATACTTTGATATAAGAAACACACACTGAATTCAAATCTCTTAGTTTTTGTTGAAATCTCTAGACAGCAAATGAAAAATTTATAGATATTAGCTCTCCTATAAGAAATAGGTCATTATACATGAAAGCAGAACAACCATTAACTAACATGCAGATGTCTCACAGTCTCATCTAATGATAACATTCTGAAATGTCAGTAAAACCCAAAGATTTTCTCTTCTTGACCTCTGTGATGTTGTATGGCTTAGGATTTGCTCAGAAAGCAATTAAATACATGTCTATCATGTTTTAACAGTCAATTCTTTTAGAAAAGCCATAGGCTGAAAGAAAAAAAAGGCGTCTATTTAGTCTCAATCTAAGCATCAATGGAGATTCAAATAATGAGAGCCAATTCCACATTCCAATGACTGAAATGGAAATCATAGGAAAATAACACAATATTAAAACTCTTCACTTCTGGCCCACTAAGCTTTTATACATGAAAGATGGGTTTATGGTAAATAGGCATAGGTTGTAACTTTATTAAACATTAGTCTACAGATGGACAGTGCAGTTTAGTTGTGTTTGCTGTTAATAAGATCTTCAAGAGCTGTAGTAATAATTAGAGATACCCTGAGATGAATAGGGGAAGCAGGCTGCCATTCCTACAGTGTCCCATCACATAGAGGTGTCTGTAAGTGCTGGCTGGATTTCCTCGTGGATGACCGGGGTAGAAGGCTTCCAAGCTTCGTGGCCAAAGAGAACTTCTACAAAATTAGGTGTGACAGCTACATAAAATTCCCTGCTGAAGAGGGAAGGTAAAAATCGTTTGGACAAGTATTTTTGTTTCGTTGTAGAGGCGGGGTTGTTGGTCGTTCCTTGCAGATCGGGACGAGGTGAACAAGAAGTCTTCCCTCACCTCACAGAGCTGAGCTAGGACCAGGTACAGTTGCAATCCACGGTTCTTTGGAGAGTGGGATGCAGGAGAGATGGTCAGGGTCTCACTGTCCTTCACACGGGTCCAAGAGTGGGGCCTGTGCACCAGTGGGGCTTTCTGTTTCACCTTTATGGATGGTATGGATTATTTACCTCCTGTATGCTCTGTGCAGAGCCA